CATTATTGCCCTTTAAATGAAAAGTATCTTATCACATTTGGAGTCCAAGCTGAAAATGGATCCACAGGACATTTTCTATATAACATGTGAAACAGCTCTTATTGTATGTTCAATGCATGTGAATTATACTTTCATTTACTGACTTAAGTCAAAGTAATAAAGGGCACCTATTATTAAGCGTAAGGCTTCTACTATGTATTTTAAACTTTAAAAAAACTAAAATTATTCATCATTGATTCACCTGAGAAGGGTAAGTGTTGAAAATTGCCTCGCTATCTTGGTCAAGGATGTGGGTCAGGGCTAAGGTTTGGTCCTGGGGGTTGGAGCTAAAAGATGGAGAGGGGTAAGATGATGCTAAAGTCCTCGGATAGTTCATGCTAAGGGAACACTTATGGGACTCAGGTTGTGTTCTTGAATTGGGTGGAAGCCCAGCTATGGGGGAAGAAGGCCTGGATAACATGTGAACTTGGATTTGTCTGCCCTTACACAGTCCCCAGCTTGTTACTATGTCCCATCTCTATCTTTGTTCTCTTGACTCCTGACATTGTATTGCCCCCAAACTGAATCTTCCACTGCCCTATGTGGCTTCCCTTGGTGTGCCTTCCTGTAGGTGATTGTGGACAAGCTCTTTGTCCCACAGTACTACTAAATGCTCAAGAGTTTGCAGCCTTGCTCACACTGTTTTATCAAGCGTCTGGCTTTATTTTTGGACTGACAGCTTTATGCCCTGTCACAAGGCTGACAGAGAGTCCGGAGGGACACTGGAAAATAGATGAGTCTAGGCATGAAGGAAGCATGACCCAGAAGGGAGTGTATGCTCAAAGGCCAGAGGTGGCCTTCCCTGCTTGCCACTGAGAATTTGGATTAAAAAAATGTTGAAAAGGTATCATAGATCCAAGGAGGGAGGCCCTTGACTATCAGGCTTGAAAATGAAAGAATTTTCTGCCTATTCTTCCCTCTACACCATGGCATCGCTTCCTTGGCCATTCCCTCCTGCTTTGTGGTGTGGTGTGGTGGTAGAAAGAATAAGCACTGTGGAGGCTGCCGCTCCCTGGCTTTGCGAGGTTCAAGTTACTTTGCCTTCCTGAGTCTGTTTCTTCACTTGCAAAATGGAATACAGTGATGATTTATCACATGAGATAACACTCATTGAGCACCCAGTGCTGTCGAATGTGAGTTGCTCCCTTGGTTATCTTTTAATCCCCTTGGCCTGGCCCAGGTTCCACAAAGTCTCTGCAGGCAACTCAAGGGGGTGCCAGTTCTTGGAAAAAAAGTGAAGATCACCTCCCACTTCCTGCACATTCTAGTCCTGCTTATGCATTCTGATGTCCTGCTTGCTTTTTTAGGCTCTAAGTGCTATCCTGCTGACTCACTTCCAACTTCTTGTTCATCATGCTCAGCTCCTGAAAATGGAACAGAATAGAAAAAGCTGGATATTATGCTGTCTGGTGATGTATTTGAGGGGAATTGGATGGCTGTCAGGCCATCCCCACATGGATAAAATGCTGGGGACATGAATTTAGCAGGGCTCAAAGTGTATTTCTTCATCTGACACTGTAGGACACTGCCTTGGCTTGTAATACTAATAATAACCACCCCACTTACTGCTACTGATGAGGAGCCAGGAAGCCTCTGGGCTAGTGCTTTCCATGACTGTCTATTCGAATCATCACATCAACTAGAGAAGTCAGGGATCCTCTCTATTTTATGAACAAGGAAATTCAGACTAAGACAAGTTAAGAAACTTGCCCAAGATCACAGAGCTAGTAAGTGGCAGAGCAGGGATTCAAACCCGTCATCTAGATCCATGCTATGTAATATGGTAGCCATTAGCCATAAGAGGCTAATAAGCACTTGAAATATGACTAGTGTGACTGAGGAAATGGAATTTTTAATTCAACTGAGACCATGCTGTAGATGCCAAATATACACCGGATTTCAAAGATCTAGTATCAAAAAATAAACATATTTTTTTGTAACATTGATGAAAGGTTAAAAATGACAATATTTTGGATATGTTGGGTTAAATAAAATAGATTAAAAATAATTTCCTTTTTTAAAATTTTTTAACGTGACTTTAAAATTTAAAATTCTAACATTTAAAATGTTGTAGTGGCTCTCATATTTCTATCAGACAGAGCTGATCTAAACCATAAACATTAAATGGTCACTAGACCAGTGATTTCTCAGTATTTTTTGATAATTTAGGGGGCATAAATCCCCAATTTACATATTTTCATTTATTTATAAATTGCATACATGTACACTACTCTGTATATTATGTATATTATAAAACACTGTCAAAATCCACATTTTTAAAAGATGAAATAAGAAATAAGCGGCATTAGTTGTATTAATTTCCTGTGGAGACTATTAGCTCACTTTGTGCACCTCCTGGGGTGTGCACACACCAGTTTGGAAACTCTTGCACTACACTTAGAACTCCTGGAGGACAGAGACTTTAATTCATACATCTCCTCCCCCATTGATGAACCCAGCACAATGCCTAGATACAGTTTGTGCTCAATAAACATTTGCGGCAGAAATAAATAGCTCTTAATATGCAATCATTTTCTGGTGGATTGGATGTATTTCTTTATTTCATATGTATTGAGCACTTTCTGGGTGCTAGGTACTATATCAGGTGCTGAAAATTAAAAGTTTAAAACTCAGCCTCTTTTCTCTAGGCCAGTCCTTCTTAAACTTTAGCATATGTAAGAATCACCTGGAGGGCTTATTAAGCAGATTCCTGCCCCAGTCACCAAGAGATTCTGGATCAGTAGGTCTGGTGTGGAACCGAGACCTTCTATTTCTAAGGAGCTTCTAGGAAACTTTGGAGGAGACTGATACACACTGAGAAACTGGAAAGACATCCCAAATATTATGTGCAGATGGGGCTAGGGAGAGAGAATGAGCATATATTGAACTTTTACTATTTGCTAAGAACTTTTAAATATATCACCCCATTTAATCCTCACCTCAACTTGATGAGGCATATAATATTATCTTCATTTTCAACTGAGGCAGCCGAGATTCAGGTGAGCTAAATTACCTAAGTCATAGAGCTAGTAAACAGCAGAGCATAGGCTGGTACCCGCTTTTGCACTCAACGATTCATATATTATTAAGTGTCTTCATCTTTTTGACGCTGTCATAGGAACCAGGCATACAATGTTGAGTGAGACAGACAAGCTTTCTGTCCTGGTCAAACTATGTAAACAATTAAAATAGAGAGTTCTCAGTGCTATGAGGGAGGCAGTGCCATGAAACTTTATAACAGAAACACATACTCTACAACAGGGCTGGGAAACCTTTCGGGGTGGGGACATTTATGTGAAGACCTGAATGATAAGTTAGATGA